CTGAAAGAAAAAAAAGAAACGAAAAGTAAACTGTCTCGTATTTCTGAAGCGTTGAGTAACTATCGTATTACTACGTGCATTGCACTATAATAGCTTTTCGTGGAGGCATAAAATCGGAAGCCATGAACTTAAAGTAGGATTATACTTCTCAATTAATACGGGCAAAATAGTTTTGGCTACCAAATATGTGGCAACATTAAAAAAATCCAACCATTATTTATTTTATTTTCTTTACATTGCCAGTCATGTACTTTAACCTCGCAAGGAGAAAAATTAGTTACAATTTAAAGTTTTACATTATTTCATAAAATTTAGTCCATAGAGACGAGCGAGAGCGTGTTTGAAAAACTTTTTTTTATGAGTTTTCAAATGGTATGCATTGCGAATGTAATCAATTGTTTCTTTTTCAAACGAAAATTCAAAATAGAAAAATTTTTAAATTCTTGTCCATTTTTTATCTTTTGCCGATTCTTAAGAAAAATCGTCAAAATAATGTAAATACATTATTTAAAAAATCTTTTCAAGCCCTATTTAAATCACACATCAAAAAATTATTTTCATCAAATTTTACTCGCATAACACTTATTTCCAACTTTTTACACCGCCGTAATTTTAAATAATAAAAAAATTGTATAGGAGAGAACATTTTTATTTTTTTACGTAGAATACTGTGAAATCTTTTCAGATTTTGTTCGATAACATATTCCACTTTTTTCTCTAAAGCTGATGCACTAAAGTAAATTGCTGAAATAATACAAATATTAAAATTGTACGATTTGTCTATAGAAACTCAAATAAAAAGAAACGATTCCTAACATCTGTTACGCTATAAAAAAATTCTTGAATTCAAGTAGTTAGCAAATTTAAGAACTTAATTTTTTTTTAATGAGAAGCTGCAAACATAATCTAAAATTGTATAAATCGTATCACTCAAGTTGACTAGTATTCAAACTAAAAAAAACTGTTTCTTACATTTATAATTTAGTATAAAAATGGCGAGAAATATACAAAAGTTATTAAATTTATTGTATACTTAAAATAAGAACTTGTTACAATACGTACACTACGTACGCATACTTCAATGTATATAAAGAAAATTCAAGTAAATCATGTCATAAGAAATCATACTATACATGTATGTATGTACGTATGCATATATGTATATATTTTTAACATGGTAGTTGATACATATATAAATTATTTTATTTTGAGGCCTGAAAATTTAAAGTTTAGGTCTATCTAAGTAATGTAGTTAATATATTAAACTTATATTGACAAGGATGTGAATTCAAGTGTTGACTAATGTTGAAACCATAACTATAAAAGTAATAATAAATTATATACCATGTTATTTTATCATAATTATTCAATAGAGCGCATTTTTATATTAAAAGTCCAATATGAAACAGTACTATAAGCCATTTTAACAGGAAAATCATTTATTTAAAAAATGATAAATTATTTATTATTGTTAAAAACTAAATATTGAGTAAAAATAACCGATTGTGGAAGAGATAAAGAGATATTAGGCATCCGACAATGAATATCGCAATTCTATTGAGATTATCAAGTTAAAAACTGATTGTTTATTTAATATATGAATATACCTGTGATCGTACAGGATGTGAGCAATGATAAAAAACAAAGATCTACCATATTATTATTAAGAATACAATATAATTAATAATACAAGTACCTACTAGGTATACATCTGGTGGCCTATGTTTCCTATGTATAAAAAGTCCTTAACGTTCATATATTAGTTAAAATAATAAATGACATTGAAAGAATGATATGCATGATTAGAAAATCCACTATATTAACAGAAAAGATAAAAAGATCCCAACTCTCAAACGTAGTTAGGAATGCTGTGATTTATTAGATTGATATATTGTTATTTAGAAAATAAACATTTTTTCATTCATTTTACTCCGAATATTCGGTAATAAAAATGATAATGCTTATTTTTTTACGCTTGTAAGGATTATGCCCAATTGAACGAAGTTAAGAATATCAACCATAAAAATGAAAGACAGAAATATAGAGTTAATTTTACTAAAATACAGTAATAAACTTTTTCCATTATTTAAAATAAATGCTAAACGTATGTAACAATCATATGTACATTTTTATTATCTCAGACGTAATCGTCTGTAGTATTCGAGCACGAAAAGATCTTACTACATACAGGCATTCATTTTTGATACATGAATCATAACGTCTGTTTGTGGTCGAAGGCATTTCTAAATTAATTTGAACAAATTAGTAATTATAATTAATATAATTTTACATATTTTTTATTTCAATTTTCAAATAGTTATTCTCTTAACATTTATATGAATTTCATGAAAATAAAAGATAGTATTTATATCTGTTTCAAGACGAAATATTTCCAAGTGGCTTTATAATTAGCAATGCATAAATAAAAGTTTTCATATAGATTTATTAATTTATTAAGTAATATTCATTTCATGATATAAATTCATTATAATTTACTTACAATTTTTTCTAGCAAACGTTGTATTAACTGTAAATTACATTGAAGAATTTGGTTAATTGTTTATCCGTTCTAATAGACACATAATTCAAGATCGTAAATATCACTTAAAATAAGTACTGTATTAATGCAAATTCTATTCGAACGTTCACTTTATGTGCGAGTTACTTCGTGTAGTATTATACAGTACACGGAGTAACTCGAAATGATATAGAATGACTTTGTGGGGGGAGATGCATTGCTTATTTAAACATCTCTATCCCATGGTTTGATAGCGAATGACCGACAAGCGCATGCGCAATATACGATAACTGTTTCATTTTGCTGATATTTTTATTTTATTAAAATTATAAGAAAAATTAGTTCAATTTCAATATATAAAAATATTCATAGTCAACATTATTCATTAATAATTTGATATCTCCCGTGAAATATATTTTTTCAGTTTTATTTTCTAGATATATTTTTTTTAAATCCTATTATTTTTAAGACTTGTTAATGTCAAGATCAAATTACCTGCTCAATTGTCTAGCAATGTTAACATATAGTTTTTTTTAATTATAATGAGAAATCTATGATTTTATAAGACAGATTGGCTCCTATTCGAAAAATTTAAACTTTCATCAATAACTGCAAGAATTGTTATAATCCTGGGAAAAAAACAACGGCTGATGAGCAATTGTTGAATTTTCGCGGGCGATGCGTATTTCGTATTTACATAAAATCGAAACCCGATAATATAGTCTCCAATTGATTACTCTCAATGATATTGAAACTAGCTATCTTATTTTTACGATTCCTCACTTAGAAAAAAGAAAAATTATTGACATAATGCCGGGAGAAAAGAATCCTGAATACTTTTTTAGAAAAGTTACTAAACTTATTCATGGTTCTGGTCGCACAGTGACATGATAATTGGTTCACAACAATTCTATTGATTAATCGCTTTGTTGGGAGCCCTTATAATTTGACGATAACAGGAACAATACGCAAAAATAAAATGGAAATTCCAGCACAATTCAAATCAGCATCGAAACAAGTGCCGCATACGAACTTTTGCTTATTCGATTATGTGGTTTTACTTTCTTACCATTCAAAATTAACAGAAATTACTGATGGTAATCTAATATTGTGTTACTTTATAATCATGTAAATAGTGGCACAGATTGCTTTCATCAACTCTCTCATGCACATACAACCGCGGTGAAAACTAACCGTTGGTTAAATAAGCGTTTTTTGTGTGGGGGGGGGGGGGGGGGGGGGTGCTCGATGAAGCTGCCGTAAATGCGTATTTTATTCAGATGCGGTAAGCGGAATATATTAGAAAATGACTTCATTTCTGCATTTGATTGTCTACAAGATCTATCGCTTCATCTTGTAAAGCCATTTTTGGTGCAACGTCTCGCTTTAAGCTAGTCTACGTACAGACTTGAGATTAGAGCTGAAAATGATACTTGGACTGATATACGATGTTTTAGTAGAAGAAAAAGAGAGACCTCATATTGATGATAAACCAAGATGTGTCTGTAGCCGCAAAACTGACAGAACATCAAAGGAGCTATGTCAGTCTTGTCGCCCGATGTGCGTATGACCATCGCGTTTAATCGTGCATTGAATGTGCAGGTACTGATTGATCGAATGTGTATTTGATTAGTCCTCGAATCATGTCAATTTATCAAATAATATGTATATTTTTATATTTTTTGGTTTAATTTACTAACACCATCGTTTTTAATTTGAAAAACATTATATAATAAATTCGTATGATTAAATTTTCTTAAAAAACGTTGCGTTCATTTCTTAAAATAACTATACTTTTTGGAATATTTCGTGTCACTATAAGTTTTATTCTAAATTTCCATATTTCTTACGTATGATTCTAGATTTTTAGCAAAAAAATTCAAAAATTCAAAAAGATACAAGTAAATGAAAAAACATGTCAATAATGAATTTTTTTTTTCAATAATTGTTTTGGTTATAGATAAATAGATTTTACAATATAACAAATCAATGTTTCGATGTAGGAAGCATTAAAATACATGTAAAATAATTTTTAGCCAAAAATATTGAAAACTGTCGATTTTACAGATAGTTTAATAGGCTGGGATAAAAGAGGCCCACATGGCGTATATGAGACTTTTTTGACGTGAGGAATTTAAGGGTTAATTTAAGTATGATTAAAAAATAGAGCCATCAACGCAAGTAAATGCATATTTTTGTAAAAGAAATTGAAAAAACAAGTAACATATCCAAAAAAACCTTGGATGATCTATTTGAACTACAAAGGTCATAAGGCCACAAATCTTTTATAGAATTTATAGAGAATGTTCAAAATAGATTAAAATCAATATAAGAATTTTTTATTTCATTCCAAATCGACATGTAAATGTTATGCTGAAAATGATATATAACATTGAAACTTGAGTTTATTGATATTTATTGTATATGTATCCATATGTGTGTGTGTGTGTGTGTGTGTGTGTGTGTGTGTGTGTGTGCGCGCGCGCATGTGTCTGTGTGTCTGTGTAACAGCAATTATGATAGTTATTTAGATAAAAATACAAATGTAATATTGACAAAAAATCTTATACTTTATTTCCAATCTTTAATATTATAAAAATAGTTTATAACGTATTTTAAAAATATTATTGCTAGAAAAATTGAAAATAAATGCAAAAATTTTTTAGAATAAATAAAACTGTAATTTTTATGTAACGATTGAATTTCAAGTTGATGAAATTCTTTCTTCTTATACAAAGTGAATTCTATCAATAGTTTAACAATTATATTTCATCAATATTATAGTTTATCAACATTGTGCTGTTTCAGATATTTTACATTCCTCTTCGTTACTTTCTTTTGATTTTTCTTTACACTTTTTTTTTATTATTTGCTGTAACTTGTATTTGTTTAAATGATTTATGGCTTTTTGATAGCCAATACCTTTTCTTAATATTGTATATTTTCCTTTGATAGATAGATCAATCACAGTTGATCCGTTTCTCCATGACTGTTTCTGTATCCCAAGACCTACATGTTCATAAAACACTCCATCAAGTTCTGGCCACAAATTTTCAAATTCAGAAGGATGTAAAGTGCTCCTTTGATTACTTTCATTGGCACTGGTTAAAGCGATTGGTTGGTCTAACATTTTCACAACACTGAGTATAAATGGGCTGTTAGGAACTCTAATACCTACATTTTCTACACCAGGATTTAAAGATTTGTTTAAAGTTTCTTTGCGTTTTAAAACAAGAGTGAAAGGTCCAGGTAATAAAGCATCAACGAGACCAGTAGGTAAATCCTCTGTATTCGCCCAATCCGGAATACATTTAACATTCCAAAGACTATAAATTTGTTATTATTAGTTGTTATAGTTGCATATAATATTAAACAAAAAGCATATTATAAATAAAATTTTACCAAATAGCAACAGGTTTACTGGCATCTCTCTTTTTGATGTCATATAGTTTTGAAATTGCATCATCATTTTGTGCTAAGCCAGCTAAACCATATATTGTATCTGTGGGTATTGCTATTATTTTTCCATTACGCAGTAACTCTGCTGCTATAGCAGCACTACGAAAACCACCACACATCCACTGATTAATTCCAGGTAAATCTTTTATTGTTTGTTTGGCATGATTCAAACGTTGCTTTATTGGCCCCATTGTATATGGATTTATTAATTTATGCAACAAAGATATAGACAATCTCATTTCCAGCTGTACTATAACAATTGAATATCCTTTTAATATTATTGTAATATGGTAATTGATCATTCATATTAATTTTTAACAAAAAATAAATGTCAATGTACCTATTAGGTGAGAAACATATAATTTACAATTAAATTTATTCTCGCCAGTTGTGTCCACATTGATAATTGCAACATTTGTAAAAAGTTGTCATTGGTTCATCAGCAGATCGAGTTTGAATTTGCATAAAGTAAGCTCTCATGTGAGAACACTTTGGACATCGTTCATCTGTAGCATCTACATTTTCCCATGCAGCAGATCCACCAAGAACATCATCAACTTCTTTCAACTTTGGATATGTACGAATGCTCACTCGACGATTAATATTACAAATATAAGGACATGTATTACAGGCAAAACGTAAACAAGTAGGACCTTCCTCTACATGTAAAACATTACCACAAGTTGGACAAAAACGTAGCATGTCTTAATTTCTAATCCTTTTTGTTGCATTGAAATTTGTTTTCTGCAAATATAAAATAGCTCATTAAAAACAAATGTATCTTATGAATCTCATCTTATCCACATAATGCAATAGAAACAATTTATACAATTTGTGAATCACAATATAACAAGTAATTTTAATAAATTATTCATCGCAAACCTATTTTCAATTATAAAATTACGAGCCATGTGACTTTTTTATATAAATTCTGTATCTTACAGGTTAGATTAGAACCAAACTTGCTAAATACACTCTCTCTCACTCTTACTATGATTATTCATTATTGCCAACGAATATAGACGCTTATAGAAGGCCAGCTTAATGTATAAGGATTTGTAGTACCTGCTTGACCGTATGATGGCGCTCGGGTGGGCTAAAAAAACGTTTCTGTAGTTGAAGTAAAGGCGGGAGGGCGCGAGCAAACGAGCCCTCGACTCAGATTTTCATTTTTTTGTCTTTTGACTAGATTTGATTAAAACTGTGTTATTGTTAACCAATTTTTACATTACTAAAAGTTCCATTATTGTAGCAGTTTGTTTGTCGTAATATATAACTAATGTTATATGACTACAGTACTTAACATAGTAGTTAAGTATAGTAGAGTTCGTCATATGAAATAACTAATGTTGTAATGAATATAAACTTGAAAGACTAAAACAAATAATGAAAAAATCCAAAAATGCAATACCGCACAGATGCACGAAAAATATCCGAATATCCCTTCCGTAATATTCCCGTTAACCCAACCCATCATCTTGCATAGTTTACATGGCTTGTTACTGTACATTACTGTTATGATTTTCCAAAACTTTCAGCTGCTCGAGTAACACGGGCCCTAGAGTGACAGAGAGGAATTTTTTTTTATGTCCATGTTCGAAATCTAGTCTAACGAGAGCTTGAAAAAATTCAAGACGTTGTGTAACGGCGACTCAACATAAAAAGGGAACAGAAACAAGAGGCCACACGTTTAGCTCGTAAATTAAGATTATAAATCGCGTACAGCTGAGAAAAGAAAATTTTTTCGTGAACGACAGTTTTCGTCTCGCGCATCTGGCAATTTTCGAATGTTTGGAAGTGTACCATGTATAATAATAATCAGAGTGAGTTTACGACTGCGCCATTCGGAATAGCCAGATTGCGAACATCTTAGAAAATTCCCGAATAACAGAAAAATGGAGAGCTGCAGCGCACATGTGCATCCTATCCATAATACAATTATTTTATTTTAATTAACTTCTTTTAAATTTTATTAATTTCTTTTAAATTAAAGGAAGCACATTTTCTTGCAGATCTCTCAAAAATATGCGAGACTTGGCTGTTTCAAGTAGTTTTCAAGTAATTAACAAAAGACTATTTTGATTAATAGTTTTTGTTTATTGCTCGAATAGCTTTAGTTTTTAAATAATTCATTATATATTTCCGTATTAATTAAGGTTTGTTGTTATAAAAATTTGAATTGTGAATTTTGTGTGTTTAATCGTTGAAACACTCAACTTTGCGTTAAAAAATTAAGAATGTCTCGAACGTAAGTTGATGATTAAATTTATAATAATTAACTCCGAGTTTTCCGTATTTCTTATGGTTTTTTGGTAATTAATTAATGGTTAAAACTATTAAAATCTTGTTTGTTTCCAGAAAAATATAATCCTTAACTTTTGTTCTGTACTCTAGTTTTATTATAGACTAAATAATATTTTTGTATTAGCAAGATTAGAGTACCATACATACAATTAATTTAAATAATTAAAGATGAAAATGGTATATATAGGGCCATCTATGTGAAGAGGGCCCAAAACACTTCCGCACACTCCGCCCCCGACCAACTAGGGTTCGAATTTCGCTTACGCTTGAGACACTCCCCAAATTTTCCAGCCAATTAAGCAAGGAAAATTTTAAGTTCCTCCTGCCTAAAAAGATCAAAATTTAGGAGTGGGGTCCTGGTTGCGAAAGGGCATAAAAGGAGGCCCCCGTGAAAATTAGTCGAGTTCCACTCAAGTTATCCGAGGACAACAGTGGTAGAAGCCAAGAAGCCTAAAAGCCAGCAACCCAGCAAGTTAAGAAGCTTTGTTAGGTGACGTCTTATTATGTTAAAAAAAAAATATATACTATCGAATAAAACCTTGCTCTCGGGAATTTCGTTCGGACATAGCATAGCTAGCAGTATTCGTGTGCGCGACTCGGTGGGAATGAGCGATAGAGGCTGATTCACGCTGAGCCGGCATGCTGGGACAGCACGCTGCAGTCAGCGTGCTTAGCTAGGTAAGACGACCCGCCACGAGAAGCGTAAACATCCGAAGCGTATACGCGAGAGAGAGACGGTATGCTCGGGACAAAGGCTATATAATAAACCAGCGAAAGCAGAGCGACAGAATTTAGTTAGTCAGGAGTCAGCGCTCGACTAAGAAGCCTGCAATCTTCCTACTTAAATACAAGAGTTTGAGAATATAACAGTAAAATTACATAATCGAAATACCGAGTGCCGTTATTTCTAACGATTTTGCGTGAACGAAAATCATACCAGGATTCACCTTATTGGCTATTAGAATATTATTGGAGAAAGGAGATATATTGGACCAGTTAATTAAACGAATTCGAAAGCAGTGATTACGTATATAACGAACCAAACAATATTTCGGACCTAGACAACAGAGTGAGTACTTTTGGGCTCTATTCTCGATAAGGTGAAATCTCTTCCTTATTGTTTTTTATTATCTCTCTCTCTTCGCTCTAATACTACTTAGCATATCCAAGGTTCCCCTTTTGGTGAATCCGCGTGATTGCGTACTGGGACCAAGTGTGTAAGCACCACTGACCGCGCAATTTAGAATACTTATTTAATAAATCGCGAACCAGATAGTAGCGCAATATTATTACTAGACGTGTTATCTGACGTATCAAAAATATATATAAATCTATCCAACGTACCCGTGTAAGTTCATTTAAGTAAACCAGCGAAGCCCCCTCCCTTTTTCCTTCCCGATTACTGCCGCCTACCCCTCGCGGGGACGAACTTCGGATATTATCGGCAAAGACGCGATCCATTCGCTGACACGGTCGGGGTACCGTACTGAAGGTTTAGTCCACCCGAGTCAGGACCACTCGGAGCTAAAAACGGTCTAACACGTGGCCGTTTTGAAGAGACATCAAAACTGTCACGTAATAAGCTTAGAAGTCAGCAAGCCAATAACCCAAGAAGGAAAACACCCGAAAACGGATCGTCAAGGGACTACCGGACGAATCCTACAGTGTGTGTGTGTGTGTGCGGTACTCAAGCGTGAATAAAGAAACAAGGAAAAATAAAAAAAAGTAAATTAAAATTTTTGGTTGCTGTCTCTCACTTTCTCTTCTGTCCTTTACCAATAGTCAGAGGTTCATTAAGCAAGTGTCTGGTGAACCTCTTTCCCCTTTTGAGAAGTTCATTAAGCGAGCGTCTGGTGAACTTCTCTACCCTTTTAAGAACACATTAAGCGAGTGTCTGGTGTGTTCGTGATAACACTTTGTTATCACAGCCCTGACAGGAGTTTTTCCCTCGTAACAATATTACTCGTCCCGGCTTATGCGCTGTGCGCAAGCTAAATCAGAGCAACCTGAGAAACACGTCTTCCTTAGACGTACCTGAGAGTGACCCCGACGTCACATGTGTGAGAAAATAAGTACAAAAAGAGAGTAAAAGAATTTAAATAAAAAACTTAAACTCTAATTTCTTTCGTTTAATTTTTCTCTAATTTTTGGTTCATTTCTTTCCTCATTCTTTTCTTTCCTAGTTTCGCGTACGGTTTTTTTTTAGATAGTTACACTCGATTGCCAAGCGTGTGGTCGAGTGTATATTAGATAGGCTCCCTGTTGCGTTATTTTATTGCCAAGAGTGTGGTAAAATAACGCGAAGCACAACTATATTTCCAAGCGTGTGGTATAGTAAAGCTTCAATCCTCCGTCGCCGAAAAGAGAATTTCCCGCGATAGTGGTAACGCACGTCCCGGTTATTATCCGAAAGGATAGACTAGAAGGTGCGCCTGAGATATATGTTGCGTCAACCGACGTCACATAAATAAATTTTTGGAGGCTCCGGAGGGACACAAGCCACTATCGAGAAATTCTGTAGGTCTAACATTTCCTCTTCTTTCAAATTTTTACTAACAGTCTATTTCGTTCAGATAATTGTGTAATCGAAAAATATAATTCAACAATAAAAGTTACTTAGTTCGGAACTTATAAAATTCTGAAAATTCCGATAAAAAAAAACAAAATCTTCGTTCGATAATTATGTTCGTTTAATAGAAAAATCATTTGAGTTCGTTAGAATATGTTTGTTCGTGCGTTTAAAGAAAACTATCGTTCCGAAAGTAATGTCAATTTAGAAAAAATATATTTTGAGTCCGTTTTCTTTTGAAATAAGAACTGCTATCAAGAATCTTTTTTTAAGTTTTATTTCCTTTTCTGTATTCAACAGAATAGTTCGCTAAACGTTGGTTTTTATTGTAACCCGTTCTAAATTTGTTTTGAGAAGGTTGAAAATATAAAATTTAGGGTTTAATTAATAATCTATTCGTGAAACGTTTCTTTATCGTATGCCAAATTTTAAATTTAGTGAATCCCGAATTTATAAAAAAACGGTTACCAAAAAATAAGAGGAAAGCTCGTGCCAAGGCTCTTCAAAATCACCCTGACGGTCTTAGCAAGGAAATTGACGAACGATATAGATTTTCGTTCTGTAACTTACAACAAACATCGCCTGCATTTTCCGAGCCATTTGAAACCGGCTCTATAACAAAAGAGACAAGTGTGGGGGTAACACCCGTATTACCTCCAAAGACGATACCAGTAGCTCCGAAAACAATTGAGGAAAAGTTAGAGTACATTCGAAAAAGGATTTGTACTCACGGTAACAACCCCGAATATGCATAAGTGCTAGACTTAGCTACTCCCACTACTAATTATATTCGACTTATGCGCGTGACAAAATCAGTGCTCTTGCATAA